TGGCTGAGGCCTCTGGTTCCGGCAATTGGGACCACCCAATTTGTTTCCATTCGCGTTCTCCTTTTCTTTGATATCGGTCGAGAATACTGTCCCACCCAAACTTGCTATCGCGAATCCAAGTGTTCTTAGTCTGCACATCACTTTCCGGCCACCCTCTGATGGTGATAGATCACCCGTTCACACCTGCAGCACTTGGCGGCTGGCACCGCCCCATCCATCTTCCCGTGAACACCTATCGCTCTTGCGGGCTTCCGTTGTCTGGCGAGTGAGAATACACCAAAACGGTACTGGACGATCAGAACCACTAGGATTATAAACGACTAGCACCACCACCACCATCACCACCACCATTACCAAGAACACAGCATGAACAAGAACAAGAAAAAGAATAGCAACAACAACAATCGCGCGATCGAAATACTATTCAGACCCACGACTTGGCTCTCCGATACAGCTGATTATGCAGCGCCGACAACAACATCCATCTCTACACCAAGCAATAAAACAAGCATTTCCACCGAAAATAATGTATTTGTAGACAACGCCTAATGGTATTTTTGACTGCACTTTTCTGCAGACTTTTGAAATCACCTATACCACGCAACACAATTCGTCCAGACACTTAAAAGCATCGCCGAAATAACACAATACAAGTTGAAGTGACACTTGTTTTGGACGGTTCTCCAAACTCATTGTTGCTAAACCCGACTTGCCAGACCGACCCGTTATGTAGTCGGTAACACTCCAAACGTTAAGGAAAAACGTACGCCGTCATCGACGAACGACCGTATGGCTAGACGCATGATCAGAGGGCCGGCGTATTTCCGAAATACCAACGGGAAAAAAAAAGAAACGCGCTGTGTCACACTACGCGATACCCTTGCAGACAACACTCGGCTGCTACATGCTGTCAGTAAGTGCAGTTGTGACATTGCGAGAAATGACACCCGGTAGAGCTTCTGTTGGCGCCACAAATCTACTATTCCTCGCCATGGGCCGCGAAAAGGTATGTCCAGGGTGTCTCGTCTCGGGAAGGCGGGGTCGAATGAGTGTATTGAGTCCGCTTCATGTTGACGTTGCTGCCGTACATAGCGGAATTCTGGCACTGACTGTAGCCCACAACCGGCAAGCACATTGAAATATCATCCCTGGGTCTTGCGTCGTCCCTTCATTTGTTCGACCAAGTGAGAAAAACCCGCTGTCGATACCTGAAGGAGAACAACTTCCCGGACAGACGGGGCAACTGTCCACGGTGTCCTATGAGCGCAGTAGTCTCCCAGGATCGCGGGTTTCTCCGTTGCCTATCTGACCAATAACAGGAATAATACACAACAACATCGAATTCTTTTAGTCTAGTCTAGGGTACAAAGTCTTCGCCACTCCAGTTGGCCATTTTCGCAGGCACGGTGGTTGGTGTCGGGAGAGATGTCCAATTCCACTTATTCATTCACACAAAGCACCGAAACTCGCCCTTTGACTTCCTTCGGTGCTTGCTGGCTGTGCAGCAGAAGTCAAGTTCACCATTCGGAGTGGGCAATGCCACGGAACAGCGTCTGCCCGACATGGCGGGGTGGAAAGCTGACCAGGTGGCACCGGCGTTGATCCAAATCAGTTGGCATCTAGTCTGGTGTTCTCCGCCACGAGCCGTCTCTGGAACGCCCCACAGTGCGTCCCATGGCCACGCGACGGCGGAGGGAAGGGAGGTAGTCGCTGCAGGGAAATCGTTGATGTTGTTGGAATGTTAGTGGTGATGGTGATGATGATGACGATGGTGATGGCGATGGCGATGGCGATGGTGGTTTGCTGTCCTTGCCCCTGAGAGTGTGGAAGAAATACTTGGGGAACGAGTCCACAGAACTCCGAGCTCCACTGGCTCCATAGGCACCGATGGACGGACTCTCGACGGAGGCAGAGCCTCGAACGAAGAGCTGGGGCGTGCAACGAAAGCGCCAACACCGTAGTACACAGGGCTTGCATTGGGGTGTCATGGTTCACGGCATCGTGGCACAAGAGCCAAGGGGAGGCTAGAGATTACGAGCTGCTGGAGAGCTGGTGTAGAATGTGGACGAACGAATTGCCGAGTGCGGGAGCGGGGAGAGAGAATGGACAAATGTACAACGATACACCTTGCAGCAAGTAGCAGAGTGCCCTGTACAACATGTTGTTCGTTGTTTCCCGTTTCATACGGGCCAAATGTCACCTCCTCGTTCGTCGCTGAATGGGAATGACTTGGCGACTTTCCTTCTGGTGGCCTGAACGGGCATGTGCCGGTGATCTCTCTTGAGGCGAAGTCACCTAGCGATTGCTTGCTGACGAGGAATGTATTTGTGTTTCCAGTTCTTCTCGGGGAGAGATATCTTCCATTGCTACATTCCAGACCCGCTGGACTTACACAAAGCCAGAACGACCTCAAAACCGGATACGTTGTTATACAAGGAGGTGATCGTGGGTGAAGATGCCGATGGCCACGGCCTCCGTCCAAATGATGCCGATGTCCCACCTGCCTGCCAACAATGACTCACAATCCACCCGAAACACGTGCTTGTATGCTAACCGGCATCGACATCCACATGAAATATGCAACTGCACGTCAACGGCCTGTATTCCAAACCCTCCAGACAGGGGCCGGAATGAGCAGAACTACATCCTCCGCTGAAAAAACGAGAGCCACAACTACCGGCGAGAGCTAGCCTTGCTGCCGCACTTTGCTCTAAAATGGACCATCCATGTATGCATGGAAGTCTACACGCTGAAACGACGCCCGGTCGGTTGTAACAAATGAGACAGCTACCGTGCTCTTCGGAGAAGCGAGAGCTGCATGCGTGCAACTGCTACCGAGTCGGAAGTAGAACGTGGTTCTTACAACCGACTGGTCAAGTTTTCCAATGGAACATCCATGTAGACTATGCATGGAAGTCTACACGCTGAAACGACGCCCGGTCGGTGCAGTAGTAACAAACGAGTCGGCTTCCCTGCTCTTCGGAGAAGCGAGAGATGTATGCGTGCAAATGCTACCGAGTCGGAAGTAGAACGTGGTTCTTACAACCGACTGGTCAGGTTTTCCACTGCAAGCCAAAATAAGGCTTCATGCGAGCTCTAGCTTTTCAATAGGGTCTCACGGGCTAGTCTCTACCCCGCGTTCCTCGCCGGCTCTTTATCTTTTTTTTCTTTCGCCTCCTCGCGCGCTCCCCCGCCCCCCCCAAGGGCAAACGGCAAGAAAAGAATCAAACACTCACTATCGTAGCTGCGTGCGAGCAAGTACGTACGCAGAGCCGTTCGCCGAGATCCGTCTCCATCTCCATTGACCTCTGCCAGGAACAAATTATGATTAGCCCCTCCATCTTGACGTAGTCTGCCGAGAGAAACCAGCCTCGATCTCAACGAAACACCGACCGCACATTGTCTACTGCAGCAGTTAGCCAGTCTACATTAACGTAGACGACTCTCGACCCCCCCCTCTCGCCGTTCGTTCCGTGGTGGTGTTGGTTGCCTCCTTGTCGTGCTTGACGTCTTGACTTGGTGTATTCTTGGTTGTTCGCCGTCATCGGGGGCGCGGCCGGAACGAACGGCGTGGCTTGCTTGGTCTTGCCAACGAGCGATAAAACGGTTCGTCCCTCACCTGCTCTGTACAGCACAGCACGAGAGTGGGACGGCGACAAACATTAGGGGAAACGACTCAACAGGGTATATCCTGGCAAAAATGCGACTGGGTCGGGTACACACTGTCAAATAGAGTGTAAGTGAGCCTTGGTGATTGGACGAAGTCCATTTTTACCCTGGGTTGTCATAATTGGCCCGGGGTATACCCAGTCATGGCTATTCTTCTCTGGATGTGTACCCTGTTCTTCTGAAATATACCCTGCCTTGACGGGAAAAGTGGCACCTGCTCAACTTGCCTGGCGATTATCTCCGCAGAAGCGTGCAAAGATATTGTGTAAGTTCCCGGTGGGAACCGCTATTCCAGACACGCGTCATGGTTGAACTGAGCTTGGTTGACCAGCCGACTGAAACAGAACTCTCAACATTTCGTAAACAGTCTAAGGTGGATGGATGTGTGGTTAGGGCGGAGGGACACACGCGCTCACACACACCACACCAACGGCGCCATCAGAAGACAGACGAGCTCCATGCCTGGTATTGCTGCCTACGTAAGTCCAAGTCCGACAGAACGACACAGCAGTGTGGCTGACAAGGATTTGCACGGCGTGACACAAACCCTACGCCAGCCAAGAATTCAAGTTGTTGTCTAGAGTTGTGTACATCTCATAAAGTCTACACGACAGACCTTGCGCCGTCCTATAGGATTTTCACCGCAACCCACGGCTTTTTGTGCGAGTTAGCACATGAATACTTGTCACAGGCTTCGACAGTCATCTCTACCCCAGGTTTTGCCCTTCGCAGGCAGTGCCTGGATACGACGGTAGGCCACCATGAAGGTACTACATGACCACAACTATTATTATAGATGACCACAACAGCAACAATATTTCAACCATTATTGTTGTTTTTCTTCACATTCAACTCGTGTCAGTTACTAATCCCAAAATCTAGCAAAGACTCGGTCCGTGGTCACAAAAATGCTAGAGCCATCAGAAGATCTAAAGAACACACACACTATAAGCAACAAAAGGGTACACAAGCCCGAGGAGGTACACCTACAATCCCTGCAGCACGTTTGCGTGCTCAGAACTACACGCCCACACACTACTCGGTGCGATATCTGTTCTCTTCTTTCTACAGTATCATCTTGATTTCTTTTTCCGAGTGGTTTGTACCCTATCTCATGTAGGCGNGTCACAAAAATGCTAGAGCCATCAGAAGATCTAAAGAACACACACACTATAAGCAACAAAAGGGTACACAAGCCCGAGGAGGTACACCTACAATCCCTGCAGCACGTTTGCGTGCTCAGAACTACACGCCCACACACTACTCGGTGCGATATCTGTTCTCTTCTTTCTACAGTATCATCTTGATTTCTTTTTCCGAGTGGTTTGTACCCTATCTCATGTAGGCGAGGTCCCCATCAAGATCATCACCAACCTTCTAAGCGCCTTCTGCGAAGCCAACAACATCCTCCCGGAGGAACAGTGCGGATTTCGACCAGGGTGATCCACCGTCGACATGCTGTTCGTCGTGCGCCGCCTCCAGGAGCTGGGGCGGAGAAAGAAAATACCGCTCTACATGTGCTTCGTCGACTTAAACAAGGCCTATGATTCGGTGGACCGAGAGATGCTATGGAAGGTGCTGGCCAGTGCCGGGATTCCCGCGAAGCTGATCGAAGTCATCCGCCAATTCCACGATGGAATGCAGGCCCGGGTGCGCATGGACGACGGAGAACTATCGGACTGGTTCTTCGTGACACACGGCGTGCGACAAGGATGTGTGCTATCCCCACTGCTGTTCAACATCTTCTTCGCCGAGGTCCTCGAGGTCGTTGTCATCCGATTCAGCGAGGATGATGTTGTTCTGCGGAGCCTGGTGTGCTTGGAGGAGGGGAAGACGGAAGCGGGGGGGGGGGAGGAGACACCCCTTGACCGAGTACGGAGGGCAGTATGGGGGATGCTGTATGCCGATGATGCCGGCGTCGTATCGAGGTCTGCAGAAGGACTGGCGAGAATGATGACCATCATCGTTGAGGTGTTCGGGGAGTTCGGGCTAACGGTGTCGGAGAAGAAGACGGAGACGCTCCTGATGCGCGCAAAGGACAAGCCGACTACAACATCACAGCCCGCCCCGCCTCAACCACTGACCATCGAANTTGTTATCCGATTCAGCGAGGATGATGTTGTTCTGCGGAGCCTGGTGTGCTTGGAGGAGGGGAAGACGGAAGCGGGGGGGGGGGAGGAGACACCCCTTGACCGAGTACGGAGGGCAGTATGGGGGATGCTGTATGCCGATGATGCCGGCGTCGTATCGAGGTCTGCAGAAGGACTGGCGAGAATGATGACCATCATCGTTGAGGTGTTCGGGGAGTTCGGGCTAACGGTGTCGGAGAAGAAGACGGAGACGCTCCTGATGCGCGCAAAGGACAAGCCGACTACAACATCACAGCCCGCCCCGCCTCCACCACTGACCATCGAAGCCGCGGGACAGAAATACGCCCAGACGACCGAGTTCCGGTACCTCGGTGGCCTCGTCAACGAACATGGCGACCTCACCCGGGAGATCAACTACAGGAGCAGAGGAGCGTGGGCGTGCCTCAGGCGATATGGCCGGGAGCTCTTCGACAGACCGCAAGCGCCATTCCGACTCAAGATCCGCCTGCTCCAGGCGGAGGCGATGGAGGCACTGCTGTACGGTTGAATGACATGGTCACCACTCAGCGGCCACTATCAGACGCTGCGGTCGATACACCACCGACTGCTCCTTCGAGTTGTCGGGTACAAGCGCATAAAAGTCACCTACCGGCAGCACTCTTACGCCCAGACGCTGAAGAGGGTCGAATGTCAGAGCGTTGAAGCCACGATC